TGTGATAGAAGAAGCTAAAGGAAAAGAAAAAATACAATTGAGTCACACAGGAAGGAAAAAAGGAAAGAAGGTAGGTAGGAAGGAAGGAATCAAGGAAGGAAATGTGGAAGGACAGAGAAAAGGAAAGAATAAACGAGAGGAAAGAAAGGTACAGTTTTTTAAATTGAACTCTGAATTTATGAAGTCATCTTTTTAACTTGCGCCCCCTAGAGGCTTTGCCGTCACTCAGTACATGCCAAACCCAGTAGTTAAAAAAGATTAATTCCCATTTAGTGGAAAATAGTCAATAAACCCAAGAAGGCAGGAGCAGCAGCTTCCTCTGTCCTGAAGCAGCCAGAGTGAGGTTTGCATTAAAACCACTTGATTTGAATCCAGTTAATAGCACTGTGTATATCTACGCTGATCTTGTACAGATGGATTCCTGACTAAATCTGATTAAATTTTACAGTTTCAGCTCAGAGCTTTGTCCCATGTGAGGAAAATCAAACCTCATGTGGGGGACACAGAGGTGTAATCCCAGTCTGTGACTAATCTCATTGCACCCGTCGTCGTCCTGGCACCGTCTGCTCCCAGTATAATGTACATTTTGTGTTTCCAGTTCTGCAGTATTAAATTCCTACCACAGATGAGGTAGTACAGAGGATTTACCCTGGAATCATGACACTGCGACGGTTGCGTTTACTGCCCCGGGATCATCTCTGATCCCTCTAATTTGCTGCCATGAACAGACCTGTTAGACAAAGTTAGAGAGACCTCCAAAAAGGAGAAAACACTGATGTGTTTGTATCGATCGCCTCGGAAAGTGTGAGCTGTGCAGTTTTAGATGTCACCGCTCCATTATCTGATCATCGAACGTGTTTGGTTGTCCACACCGACTCCGCTGTGACACCTGAGGTTGTAATCTTCACAAACTGCCGATGATTATCATGAACTGGCTCGCGTCAGTCACCGTGTGACCTGAGCATCGCTTCAACTGAGACTGAAGAAAGAAGGACTGCTCCGACTGCTGAATGACGCCGTAGGCAATATTTCAGGCTTTTAATTTGTTATTGACGTTGTTCCATGAAGTCTGTGGCTTTGATGGTCTTGATGGACCCATTCAAAATACCCATTCCAGTTCTCATAATATGAATTCAATGAAATCCATCTTCAGCTTTGATGCCACTTTTTATTCTTCGAAAGAGTAACAAGAACATGATCCACATTAATCGTAAAATATAATTAAAAATATAGAACTTGGATCTTTTCCCTCACCTTTTTACCCAGATCATCAGATGCAACATCTTGGCTAAAAAAAACCTCACTTGAATTTGTCAACAGCATGTGTGAGCATATATACTGCAATGGTCTCTTAAACTTTTCAGTCTCGTTAACAGCATCATCAGTCACGGTGGCTGTAATCCAATCATCCATGACGTGATTTATGATGATGACGTGTCTTTGTTGTCGCTGACATCCTTCACCAGCACAGCCTCGTCCATCAGTCTACTCCCATTAAACATATAGAAACATTTGGAGCCTGTTGCACATTTTGTAGTTCTGTCCAATTAGATGGCAGCATCTCTAAACAAAACTGAAGCTTTTGAAGACTTTTTTTCAGAGGTGGGTCACCTTCAGTTTGATGGTTCAATCTCCTCTGTCACTGTAAAGCAGCAGAAAGTCTGGTTCTGGACATTGGTTCTGGACATAGGCTTTGACTGGTTTTTAGATTCAGCACAGGGAGACACTGAAACACCTTCATGTCAAGGACTTTTATAGTTGTTGCTGAGAAAATTGTTGCTTTTGCAATACTCCAGAGTGGAGCTCTCACGTAGTTTGACTTTCTCTGTGCCTTTTTGGTTTAAAACGCAACTTTATACCCACTAAAAAAACAAAAAGATAACATTTGAAATGTTTCCTTGTGATGCTCTCATTAGAAAACAGGACACTGTTACAAGTGAAATTAAACTAAGTGGAATGGTGTAAAACCACATAATTAGTGAGAGTTGATCCACTGTTAACACGATGAATAATAAATGTTGTTGAGCTCAGCTTTAATCCCGCTGCACTGCACCAGTTTTTATGGCTTTGTTTTGCTTGTTGGTTTTCTTGAACGTCATCATTATCCTTCATGAGACATTAAAGATCGTGACAGCCGTTCTTCACGCCGTCCGTCAGGTGTAAACGTCACCATCAGCGCCCTCGCTGACAAATATTATAAAGTCATTAGTAGAGATGTGATTGATGGGGGTTTACTGTGCCACCAGTATGACCACAGACACGGCTACATCTCAGCATGTGTGTCTATAGGTGTGTGGACAGAGAAGGTCATGTGACTCAGACTGTGGTCATGTGACTCCAAGCAGCTGGTCACAGCTTGAACCAGACAGGAAATGTAGTCTTCTATTCCTCTTTACCTCATCTTGGTCCATCCTTGACTTTTACAATATTTCCGTCAGTGACCGTACAACATTTTTTGTCCGTGTTTACCTGCGTCTGTCTGTGTGTTGACCTCAGCATCATGTCTGCTTACATGAAAACAAGATGAGGGGAAAAAGCATCCATGGATTGGTTGTTTTTTTTAGAGCAGCAGTAGCTGTGATAGAGCATCAAAACAGCTAACTGCGTTGCGTGTTTATGAATTGCTAATGATGCCATTTATCATCTACGCCTCCATATTGAATGTCACAGTTAATGATTTTTGTGTTTGGAAGGTGAAATTTAGGCAGAAATTACTGCAGCGTCTGTCATTTGACTTAATGAGAGATTAACGCAGCGACAGGAGCAGTGGCATTTCCCTCTGCTCTTATCATGTGCCTTCATAATCATCAGTCTGACATTTACCATATTATACAACATGTTGATGTTACAGGTGTTTTAAAATGCTCTTTAACTTTTCTATTTGCTGGTTGGTAAATTAATAGACGACATTAGTCATAAAACTTAAAACTAAAAGACAGAAATCCATTTTCCAGCATAAAAGTTGTATAACAAGATGACAGGGACCAATTACAGGAATTTTCAGAGAGTGAAAAGGGGCGCCTCCTATTGGCATAATCCATACACTTGAACGGTTGCTAAGTAATTGTGAGCAGTTTGTTTTTATCAGAAATTCACACAGCATTCAAACAGCAGGTGACTTTGTCCCTACATTATTAATGTTACCTTAGTAACAGGGATCCTAATTTTAAAAATACCAATTAGCAAAGGGCATGATCAGAAACTGATTTTGTTCTTCTTTTGGCCCAAAATCTTTATCGTAAAAAAACTGTCAACCTGATCCCAGCTCCCTCAGGAAGAGTGTTGCTGAGAGAGGGGAAATCCCAGCAGCTGACACTGGACAGCTGAGTGCTGCACGGTAAAAATGGCCCTGCACCGGAATAAGTTGTTCCTTATACACGCAGAGAACGTGTTCTCACAGCCACAGAGAACAGCGTGTCTAATGTGTCAAACTGTGGCTCAGCAAATACATTTTCCAATAGTATGGATTTACATGCACTTTTATTTAACTGGCAAAAATTCAGGCATGGAAGCCAGCAAATAACCAACATTTAAATGTGAAACATAGCTCATAGGAACATAAATATGTGATGTTCCATAGGGAACGTTGTATCTAACACATTTTGCAAACACCTATAGAACAGTTTAGCACTTTGAACAAACTGTGCTGCGTTTCTCTCCTTGAATATTACACACCAACAACTGGAGCATTATGCTGCTCTTTAGCAACGCTAGCTATTACGTTGACATCTTCATGAAACAAGCTGTTTCCCTCAACGCCAAACTGACCTTTAAAGATGTTGGGCTAAGTTAAATTAATTGTGTCACCGAGCGTCCTCATAATTCACCGTGTCCTCACAGAGCAGGTGGATGACATTAATTGGGGCGACGTTGCTGTGGGTGTTCAGCAGCAACAGTTCAACACTTCATTATTTAGAAGGAAACGGGTCAAGTGAACATTGACAGGTTCTGTGCATGAGTCAAATATATCGTTACAAATATAGAATATCTGCAATAAATACAGAGTGTAATTAAGGTGTTGTTGTCCGAATGAACCTGATGAAGGCATCAATCTATCATAGTTACTGTGTGTGTGTGTGTGTGTGTAGAATTATTGACTCCATGTGTACATTGTCTGTATGCTATAAGCCAAGAGTGGATTTGACATTATGCAGAGAGGATCTAATGAGCACAACGGCCTTAACAAAGGTAAAATCAACTGAGCAAACACTGAGGCCGTACTGTAAAATCAATGTGCTGCTCAGCAGGTCATGGAACAGTTGAGTGAATTAGAGCATTACTTTGAATGAGCCTCCCTCCACAGAATGTGAGCGGGCAGCGTGTGTAATTACCACTAATGCCTTAAACTCCAGTCAGCACGTAGCATAAAAGTTCACTTTGAAGTGTTTCACTTAGCGTTAATAAAACTAGATGGAAGTAAATGGAATTATTAATAAAAAAGGCAAACGTCAACCACGGGCAAAGAAACAAACAAACACAACAAACACAGTGGTTAGATGAATTCAAAATAATAATTTTGTAATTATACACTATCTACATCTGAACATCCACTTGCTCTTTAACGTTGATCAGTAAATGTTGCCTATATGTGTGTGTGTGTGTATGTGTGTAAATGTGCTTTCCTCAACACACAAATATCCAGTTTTCATACTGAAAAAACAAGTTATTACATTTTGAATATTTAATATATAATATATTTTATTTAATATTTAATTTTCTATGAACATTATGAAACTACTAGTGAGTAGTAGTTCTTAATCTCTAACTGTTTAAAAGGTTTCTGAAAACTCTTAAAAATGTTATGCACTTGCAAAAAAAAAAGGAAAATAAGAAACAAATTTCTGCCTCAGTCAGGAAGTTCTCTCAAACTGCAAGTATCTGCAAAATCCTCATACTTTGGTAAATATTGAATCTGATTACAGGAAGATACAAGACTTTTTACAAGTCACTGTTTAGTCCCAGCCTCCGACTGAGCTCTTTCCTCTCTCCCTCTCTCGCAGCTTGGCAGCATCCAAAGAAGCTGCGGCGAGGAAAGCCACCACACCGATGCCGCCCTCAGAGTTCCTGGACAAACTGATGGGCAAAGTATCGGGCTACGACGCCAGGATCCGACCGAATTTCAAAGGTAGAATTTGCCACCAAGACTCAGTCGGATAAGACGGGAATGTAGCCAAACGTAATCCTGAAACATAAGGACTCGTTAATGTGTTGTCTCTGCATTTCATTACCTTCTCTAAATGCTAAATTTTTTTAAGGTTTAGATGAGATTTTTCCACAGCCAAGGTTTGTATTTCACTCTTTAAAGAAGAACAGCACATTTCCACAGTAATGTACATATAACATATAACAAACTGTTACTGCCTTTTTAACCTTGTCAGTGATCTGTGGTTGTTGACAACCTATCAATCTCTTTCATTTGTCCTTTCCAGTGTACAACAAAGGTAACTCTGCCCTTCTTGTTATAGAAATAAGTCTGATTCAGGTGTTCACTCCCCTGAGACTACGTTTCCTTTCTGTAACTCCTTGCCTGCATCTGTAGCCCCAATGCAACTGTGAAAAAAAAAAAATAGAAAATTAGATTTTTTATTTTAGTTGTCATGGTGTTAGTTGGCTACATTCCTTGGTATCCACACAGTATCCTGAGTGCTTGTTTTGGTGGTCAAGGTAATGTGCCTCTCTCCTACGAGCGTGCTGCTAAATATGACTCCATGATGATGATGATGATGATGCTGGTAATGAAGGTGATGATAATTCAACATAAAGTGACCTCTCCCTGAATGGACGCCCGCACAAAGACACATGTCATAGGTTTCTATATCAAACTTCTTATTTTATTAAGAAAAACAGTTTGGATTTTTGAATATGTTTCTCTAATATTTGGGGAATGGGGGCAACCCTTGTTATATATATGTTAAGGAAATACATATTTTAATATTATAGTATATTAGTATATTTAATAATATAGTATATTTCAGTTTTCAAAATCTGGAAATAATGACTGAAGTCATTTTAATACTGGGGTTGTTAAATTGAACCAATCAGAAGATTTTCAGTAAACTTTAGAATTTCCAGCCCAAATTGTTACTTTAAGGTTCTATATGTGGTTGTAAGATTATTAAAGCTGACTACTGTCAGTGGGTTCATATTTATGATCACTGTCTTAGCAGACGGCTGCCAGTAGGAAGACCAGGGCGCAGATTTTAGCAACTTTAGCAAACAACAAAATGAATAGTAATAATAATAATACATGTTTTTTTGTCTGAAATATCTAACAGTAATGTACTAACAGCCTTATTTCAGTGGAACACGGCCTCCAACAGGAAATTGCAGTTTGGAATCAGCTCCCACAGCAAAGTCCTTTGGGAAAATGTTTTATTTTAGTTTACAGGAATGTAGGATTAGCTGCTACCTGGTGTAACCTCTAATGAGCTTACTGGTAGATGTAGATGTAGATGTAGATCATTCAGTCCTGTGGCATACATAACTAGTTTAACTAGTTCTCTATCAGGACTTTCCTGACCTCTAATCTGATTTAATCCAATCAGTGTTGCTTGTGTCCACACTGGCTCCCTCGTCTTCAAACACTTGAACAGAGGCTGTATAGTGGGAGTGCAAACACTCTGGTCTTTATTCACAGTGTTTTACAGTAGTACTTTGTACAACCAAACAGTATATAAAGTGACCTAAACTGGCAATTTAAGGATAGAGTATGAAAGAATTTCCGTAAAATAAAAATTATTTTCGCAAGAGGTCAGAAAGCGTCTTGGAGTAAAGAGGATACTAGAAGTAATCCTTGTAGTATATTTGCTAAAGTAAACTACAAATATCTGAGACAAATACAAATGTTGCAGAACACAGTTTTCATGGTGTTAAAGTGACTATGTGGTGTTTGTGTTTTTACATTCCTACCTTAATGAAGCAGAATTTTAAGAGTCACTCTCCCACACATACGAATAAGAATAACAATTGGAAGCTACTGTAACTGTAGTACTCAGTGACTGTATACTGGCATGCCCTGCTGCCCTTCACCTGTTGGCCCAGACATCTCTGCCCTCAGGTGCATTTCTTATAACCAGTATGGGAAGTGGTTGGCATGAAAACTAAAAAAACAACCCATTTTTGTTGGACTTCTCTTTATTGTCCAACAAGAACCCATATTCTTTGCATACTCTAGTCTTAAATCACGCACTGAACGTCCAGAACGAATAGTAGTACTTCCTAACACCATATACTGTATATACTTATTCAGGTTATCTGTGTTTTCTAAGTGTACAAAGTATTGATCATCTTATGAGACATCAACCCTGACGCATTAGTTAATTATAGGTTAGTTTTAGCGGTGAGATCATCAGAAGTTGATCGGGACTTACGTCAAACTGTGCAGTTCAATCAGTAGGAAGAGGTACATGAATTTTCCCTCTATGTTTTATCAAAATCAGAGCAGTGGGATCTGTGGGGACATACATGGAATTACTTTACAAAAATAAAAAGGTGAAATAAATTAAAGACAAAAATTACCAATAAATAAAATGACTACAAATCCTGTTGCAGTGTTTGCAGCTGTACTATGACAACATTGTATTTGGCCATTGGTATTATTCCGATAGATAAACATCCTTTTTTCACCTACTGCTGCTCTGATTTTGGCAACACCGAGGGTCAGAAATCACAGCGGTCACTCATTCTGTGAATCTCCTCCACCGTTGGAAACTGGTAAAACCTGGAGGGACGATGTATTTGTCTTGTTACTGATTGGCAACAAGCGGTGTCTGCTTCACTCCTGAAATGAAATAACATTAGCTTGAACCTGGGAATCAAATTTAGCAGAAGGAATGATTGTGGTGCCAAGGTATTTTGTACACTGAACACACAGGTAAACACGATGCTAGAATCCTAATGCGGAGCAGTGTTTATTTAATGATGCCACTGAGCCATTGTACTTTCTGTTGAGACTAGGCCACAACGGTGTAACCTCCTCTGTGGGGGGGGGGGGGGGGGGGGGGGGGGGGGGGGGGGGTTCTCAGCTCAGTGCTCGACGGGGCATCGACGGGGCAGGGAAGGGTTTTATTGTGACGGAAAGTGTATTATTATTAAATCTGCTACGGCTGCAGAACAGCAGCAGCAGCTCATCCCTCCTGACCTGTCAGGTGTTTGTTTGTTTGGGTGGTTCTGTGACGTATCATCATGAGTCAGTTTTGCAGAACATTTCCATTTTCCTCCCTTTTTTTGTTGTTTAAAAACGAATCCCAGCCCAGTTCTGGTTGACAACCAGTGTGATTTACTGAGTCTAGTGTCTCGCTGACCTTTAAACGTCAGGATTTAAAAAGGCTGACGTGACAGTTATTGGAATTTATCGGTCGTTACCTTCATACCTCTAATGTGAGCAGTTTTTAGACAGGCAGAGAATAACCAGAGTAACAGTAACGCTCTGAGGCTGTGAAAATGTTCCCAACACAAATAAGGGGCTCAAAAAAAATATAATTAAAGTGTATTATTTTTGCTGAAATGCCAGTGGGGCCGATCTGTTACAGTCATAGTTGGGAGAATAAGGACATTGTTTCAACGTAATCTCCTAAACGAATGCTGTCAGGGCCTGTTGTTAGCAGACAGTGGATGACGTGAATTCTTAGACTGTGTCATGGCTGTCAGGCTGACAGAGTAGCACTGTGAGTTCATTCATGCAGTGTTTCTGTGTGTGTCTCTGTGTGTGTGTGTTCTTACCAGCTTATGCAGGTGCATTAATCACCTCCTTGGAATAAACAGCCTGACAGCTCTACTCCTTAATAAAAGGCACAAAACTGTGCAACCTATTTTCACAGCATGACGCGTCACTACTGCAAAGCCAAAGAATGGCTGTATAACAGTTCTTTCTTCGTTACAGTAACAGTAGTAATGATAGTAATACTAATAATATTGATACTTTTTAGTAGTTGTGACATGGGACACCACCAGTTTGTGATGGTATCCATTTATTTGACCAGTTGTACTCTAGTAGCATGCTAGGCTAGCTAACACAGACAACAACAAGCTTTATAAAACAGTAAAAAGGAGGTGAAACTACAACTGCTTTATTTAAGGAGGAACTGCTATTCAAGTTTCCAAGAACATTTCATTCCTGTAACCTGCAGGAAGGATGGGAATTTGGATTTTTTTTTTTTTTTTTTTTTTTGTTAAACAGAGTAGAAAGAACCAGAACAAATTGTGTTTTCCTTCCTGTGATGACACTTTGACAGCTGTCACATCCAATTACTAGCAAGTTAGGCTTTTAGCTACTTGACAGACTGGTAAGCCGTCTGTGACAGTTGAAAATGAATCATTGTTAGGTCCAGTCTGGAGAGCATGAAAAAGAAAAATGTTATTTTGTCCCCAAATCAGGTTTAATATTTCATTGAACAATGTGTCATGTCGGCTATTTTTGACAACATTAAAACAGAACTGCTGAAATATTTAGACGCGTTGAAAATAGCAGTCTGTGTGATTTTAGAATGCTGTCCTTTACATAGGTTTTGTTCCTCATTTCTTTGAGTTAAATCTACATCTACAGGACATACATGCACATACTACTTGTGTTGCAGTTGTAACAACCCTGGTTGTGAACAGAGAGAAGTACAGGGAGTAAAAAAAGAATGTAAGAAATAAGAGATATGATTCCCCCGGGGCTACGAGCTGGCATGAAAGGAAATTACACTGATCATGACCGTGGGTTCGCTATGTGGACAAAAACGCTTCCATTTGATAAAGCAGTTTCCTCCGTTGTAAAGGGAGACGGAGGGAAACACTCTTGACACATTTGGGACAAGACAGTTATAATCCACCATTCTTCCATATTTAATTCTGCTTCCTTGTCCTTTTCACCTTCCTTTCCTGTCATCCTTGAACTTTTTCTCTCTGAACATGTATTCATTCATGTGTCTGTTCCATTCTTACCTTCACAGTTCCTTAATGTTGGTTTCGTTTTCCACATCATCTGAGTAACTTCTTTTTTTTTAAATTCCTGCTACCACTGTCTCCCTTCATCATGATATACATTTTCCTCATGCATTGCCACAAGACAAGGTCATCAATACAGCAGTCACCCCCTGTATTCCCTCCCCTTCTTTCTCCCTTGACCTTCCTCACTCTTCCCATCATTCCTCTCTTAACTCCTACCTCAAGACCTCCTCTGTATTCCAGCCTCGTCCTCCAATTCCACTGATTCGTGAAACAAATCGCATTTCTTTGACCTGGATGACCAGGTGCTCAGGCAGTGGCAGAGCTGTAGAGCACGTCCCACAAATGCACAGTCTGTTAGCAGTGAGTTGAGGGAGATGGGGGGAGGAAGGGGGAGAATGGCAAAATGCCATTCTAATGTTGGGCCTCTCTGATCTACGGAATCTGGGAAAGACCAGGTCACATGGTCTGAGTGTCAGAAGACAGTACCACTGTAGAAAAGGTGTGTGTC